CTACCTCTCTCTCCTCTCTGGCCCCAGCAGCTAGCTCCTCAGCGACTGCAGGACTGTGTACGCTCGCTGCATCTGCTCCACCCAGGTGTCATTGTGGATGAGAACATCATTCACGGCAGCATGTGCAGCGTGTGGATGCAGCATGGTCCATGAGGTGCAGCAAAGTGGTGCTCTGACCAGGAGGAGTGACAAATTAGTGCAAATGACTGTATATAGAGTGGAGAAGACCCTTTTTCCCCTTGGACTGTGTAGACAAGGTAATCTACCAGTATCATGGGGCATGGGGTAGGCGTCAAACCGTGATCTTCACTACAAGAACACCAAGCTTTCTGCGACTCCTCTGTCACCCCCATCTCCAGCATAGCAGCCACTTCTTTCCGAATAATTTGCTTGTTATGCGCAGACAGTCTATAGGGACATGAACACACTGTCACACGTTGCGCGTTTGAAAATGATGCTCTAAAAGCATTGTGCAACCAGGCATTGGGAGAACACATCTCAGTGCAGAACCATCCACTCTCTGGTGTTGTGTGAGATGGTCATCACAATGGAGCAACGATAGAATAGATCGATTTGAGACGTAATGTGCTACTGAAATAAAATAGACATGATATTGACATTAGCAGAATTTTGCTAAGCCAGCATCCAATATCAACATCAAAACAAGCAAAGCACTCACACAACAACATCATCATCAGACATTAAAGACTGGCTGACACAGAATTTTCTTACCCTAAACAAAAATAAGAGTGAAGTTATTGTTTTTGGATCAGTTAACTCATACCCTCGGCCCTCTTGTCATCATTCCCAGACTGTAAGAAATCCTGGAAACAGCTCTTTGAAATTAGAGAAGCAAGTTTTCAGAGTTGTGAAGACCAGTTTTTATCAGTTACGTGAAATTGCAAAGACTTATTTTCCTCCTAAAGACCTGCAAAAACTTATTCATGCCTTCATCACCTCATGATTGGACTACTGTGGTTCTCTTAGTCCAAAATGCTGCTGTATGTCTTTTAACAGGTGTTAGAACAATCACATCACTCCAGTTTTATCAGATTTACACTGGCTCCCTGTCCATCATCGTGCTGATTTTAAGATGCTTTTACCTACTTTCAGTTTTATGTTTTAAATAAACACCCAGCTATTTAAGCAAACTCCTCAACTAAACAGCACTGAGATCATTTACCCAAATGCTTTTAGTACAGCCGAGGCCACGATTACAGCATACAGGAGATCGAGCCTTCTCAGTTGCAGCGCCTAGACTCGATACTCGTAGTTCAGAGTCTTCACAGTCTTTCAAATCCTATCTTGAAACTCTGAAGACTCTGAAACTTTTTTTACATTGGCTTTTAATTCGAGTTCATTTTGAGTGACATCAGGTCCTATTTTTGTGTGTTTCTATGTTAAATATATTGTATTTGCTTCTTGCTTCTTTCTATTCGCATGTCTTATTTTCCTGTATTTATTTTTCTTTCGTTTTCTCTTGTTCATGAACTAACTTGTGAAGCACTTTGGTCAACTTTGTTGCTTTTAAATGTGCTACAGAAATAAAATGGACGTTGATATTGACATTAGCAGAGTTTTGCTAAACCAGACAGACTATCATTAGAAAATGTTGTTACTGGGTAGTGACAAAAATATTTATGTGGCCCTGAAAGGGGATCCATGTCGTGGTTACAGCAAGATGGTGATAGATTGTCTGACACAGCTAGAAAATGACAATCCTATGGACTGCAGGGGAAAGCTACACCAAGTCTGTACTGAAAACCCGAACGCCACCCAGCCATTGGCTCAGTTTTTTTGGATAATACCAGGGTGGAAATAAACTCTCAGGACATACCACAAGTCACCGATCGCATTAACCTGGTGGACAAACACATGACGTTCACCAGGGAGGATCTGAAAATTAAAGGCTAGATTTCTTAGACTGTGAAATTCAGTAATGGGCATTTAAAAGTTATTATGTAACATAACCAACACATACAGATGAGTAAATAAGGTTTGACTCTTATCTAAGTTGGACACAAATTGTGTTCATTCTGTGTTATGAAACACAATGAAAACTATCCTCACCCACAGATGCAGCAGCAAGAGCAGCAAAAGTACATGATATCAAAAAAGCATCGAGTGAATGTGAGGATGCTCCAGGTAATCCAGGAGAGAAGGATCACTGCTGCATAAACGAGAACCTTCAGTGGTCCCTTATATGTGAGCAGGCCCATTTTTTCAGAATGCCACCTCTCTGTGGCTTTCAAACCCCAAAACACTTTGCATTAAAAATAGGTCCACTCCCAAGGTCAGCTCCCCTGGGACAAACAGGTTGATACAGTGCACTCTGTTAAGTTCCAGGAGGATTGCTGTAAATTACACATCAAGAAAACCAAACAACCTCTGATTGAATGGATGGCACAATACAGAACAGCTACTATATGAGGCTAGGATCCTTGATTATTTACACATATAGGCCAGTAATAAGGGGTTCAAGGATTCAAGGAAGCTTTATTGTCATTCTCATTGCATGTTTACATGAGGTGGAACGAAATTCTGTACCCATGGTCCCAGTTTTCCATAAAAACAACAGAATGACAAGTAACAAAACAGTACCAAGTAATAATAGAATAATACAAAAAAGTGAAGTGCAACAACCTGAGTAACAGTATGGAGTATAGATATAGAAGTGTAGGTGTAAATATTTTAGCAGCAAAGTATCAGTAGTGATTAAGGTACTACAGTAGCAGTTTCTTGTCCATTATGCACTGAGAAGTCTCAGAGCTTCTCGAATGAAGCTGTTTCTCAGTCTGGTGGTTTTGCATTTAATGCTCCTCTGCCTCCTGCCTGAGGGGACAAAGAGTGAGTGTGCTGGGTGAGTGGGGTCCTGCATGATACAGGTGGCCCTCTTCCTGCATCTGGAGGTGTATATTTCTGTGACGGTTAAGAGGCTGCCTCCGACCACTCTCTGCGCAGCCATCATTTCAAACTAATCCCTCTTTCAAAGATGAGGATGATGTGCATATCCTGGAGAAGGAGGAATGCTGGCTTGAGCACAGAGTCAATGAGGTCATTTATGTGAAAAGGGAAAGACCATCTCTGAACCAAAGAGGGACCAGGGCTGCATCTGTCACCATCTTACAATGCAGTGTGCAGCCATTCCTCAACTCCCCTTGAATGGTATTCATGACTATTGTTCAATATCAGTTTGCATATTACCAATCATGAATCTGACCACACACCTCACTGTCAGTCAGCAGTGCTAGCTTTGGTCATGATGCAAATGCACTGTTTATAAGTCTAGTGAAACCTGCAGTTTGCTGAGACTGAAGAGTTAATTTGACTGAAAAGTGATGAAACATTTCTTCCACTGGAAATGCAATGCTCAGATGAAAAGCATCAGTTTTCTGGGATTCTAATTCATGTTATTTTTCATTCAGATAGTAGATCTGCACATGAGCTGTTGCTTAACAAACAAAATTATAATTAAATGTTATTCAGCGGTTATACAGGATAGTTAGTGTAGGCTAAAACTAGTAATTTGCAGTATTTTAAATTATTTTTGTTGACTTTTTTTTCTTTAATCTGACTGCTGAGTATATTGACTTAAAAGACTTTCATCAATTTGAATTTAAATTGCTCATGTTTTTTAGAAACACTTGCCAAGTACTGCATTTGTACAAGTTTCTTCCTGGCTACAATTTGGAAAGCAGCCACAATGGCTCCTGTAACAGCTGTTTATATGTTGTAGAATATAGTTGGTACAATTCACAAAGAGTAGTGAACTTCAGAGCCAGCAACATCAAGGGTCAGCCTGTCGACAAAGAAAACATCTCCAAGAGCTACCAATAGATATGTGACTGATATGAGTCATTGTTTTACCACCTGCCAAATCCCACTTTAACCCATGCACCTACGTAGTACACTTGAATACATGGTGCATGAAGTTGTTTTTTTCTGAAACAGATTTCTTCCTCATCCCAGGTTGCCAGTGTTGATTTCAAAAGTCCACTGACCAGCACTGATGCAGTTTTTCATTGAGAGCACCTTTGACTTATATAGAATTAAAAAAAAACCCAGACCTCGCTACAATGTTTGTTTTTCTGCTAATGAATTATTTAAACTTAAGTCTTTATAGCCATTATAGTGAGGTACAATTTTTTATTTTTCACAGGCACAACGGGTCACTGGCCAATGGGGACAAAGGTCGCAGAAGAAGTCGTCTGGCTCTTTACAAGAGACCCAAAGCCAACGGGGTCAAACCTGATGTTATCCACAATGTCTCAACTCCTTTGGTGTCAAAGGTAAGAAATCAGTTTGTTATACTATTAAGTAATTCAGTCTATCATTGAACTGTCACTGATCTGAGCAAAAAATAAGTTCCAATGAAAATATGTATATACTGCTCAAAACATTAACCTGATATTTTCAAACATCCACTCAGATAAACTTCTGGGATATTGATCTAATCAATAGTAGCAGAAGGGCTTGTTGATCAGTTTCACCTTCTGCTGGTTAAATACACAAGGAATCATGAGGGAACGAGACATGGGAGGGAAACACAGCTGGAGCTAATCAGACACGA